CCCTGTACATATAAACAAAAACAACGTGGAAACATTTGGCAGCGCATATTTTCTGCCACAAAATATCAAGCCAAAGTGCTGGATTGAGGGAAGTTGCATTTTCATCAGGATGATGCTATTATTCTAAATTATGCATTGTCTAAGCGTGAATCCCTGGATCAACTATATCCCAGCTAATGGATTGGCAGAGGTGATAGATTGTAGATTACACGGGGATCTTTTGGTCTTAAGGCCTTTCAATAGGAATACAGGGTGACCCGAAACGAATATTGACAAAATATATTTGCAAAGAAACCACTTTCTGCATGAAGTATAGGAACTTTTAATTAAATCAATAAAAAATATTGAAACTGCAAATTTGATTATTTTTAGAAAATATTATTTTCTGTAAATTTCGATTTTTAGAAGTCTTCTATTCAAATTGTCTCTCGCCCTCTCTCTTTTCACATCATTAAAGTGCTTGAAAATTTACTTAAATATGACTTCTCAATTACATTGTTTATTACTTCAAACAAAATTGAATAAAATCTTTGATTGGTGTAACAATCTCTTTCTAAATTTTGATAAATATAAAATTTGTACATTTTGTCGCAAGCTCAAACTAATTTTACATAATCATCAGATAACAAATTGTAGAACTTTTTGTCATGAAATTGGTCTGAAAACGCTATTTTTTGCACTCATAAGATCGAAACTTGAATGCGCACCAATTATTTAGGAACCACAGTATCAAGTACATATAAATTCATTAGAAGTTCAACGCAAGTTTCTTAAATTCTTATATAGGAGGATTCATGAAATTGATCCTGTCAGAGATATCGACCAATCTATTTTAGTACATCGTTTCAATGTCCATTTCTTACAACTTACCTCTATAAATTGGTACAAAATTCTATTGATTCCCCAAATCTTCATCGAGAAGATTTTCACGTTCCCAGAATTACCTCTAGAAGAATTACTACACCGCGAAAAATATATTATAACCGTTAGTCCATATCAAATATCCCTTAGTAGATAACTGGATACCATACGTGACAGCAAAAAGATCAACTTGTCATTATTAGTTTGATCTTGCTGAAATGATCAAATAACCGTTAGTCAATGGTCGAATAATCCTTAATCATTCTGCAATTGCGCAATTTATTCTTTTACCGTATAGCACTTATACAGTAATATAGTTATTCGACAGAAACATACACATCGACTAACCACTAGTAAACGATTAAATAGCACCAAGCTAGTGATAAAATATCCAAATAAATAGTAGTATAACCATAAGTAGACGATATAATAACGTCAATTTTACAATAGATCAATCGCAAATGAAATGGGTTGATCACATTACGTCATTAAAATCCCAAGGTAAGAAGATTCATTTTTAAATTTTATGAATTCAGGAAATTCATGAATATGAGTTTACTAATTATTATTTACAATTCGCTGGTTAAATATGTAAACCAGCATTATATCCTACCTCTCTTTTATATAATAAAAAAGTGCTTTGTATAAGAACATTATATTATCTGTCTTGCTGTACCTTTATTTATGGAAAGCTTTAATTGAGATACACTACAAATTATTTGCAATAAATATCAAAAGAAGCATACATTTTCAAATAATTTGACATTTAAGAGCCATTCACACATCACAATTGACATCTTGATACTTGAAGGCACAGCCAAGCATTATTCTGATTTTTGCCAAATAAAATGGCCGGTTAATTATTCTATGGGGTTGCGACAGAGAGCCAGTAAATTTGATGGTGTTTTTGTGGCTAGGGGCGAAATAGTAGTACACTTAAGTTAGCACCACCATAAAAAAGTAATTTTTAAGAAACTGTTTATATATTTTTCAAAAATTGGCAGGCTTGGCGACTAATTTCGAATAAAAATAGCCTCCAAAATGGCTACAGTTGCAAATATGAAGGTCGCAACCCGCCTTAGAAATTTCACCTTTACTATCAACGGCTGATGTTTGACAGGTCGTTAGAGAATGTTTGCAATTTATGGAATGTAAAGAATGTTAGAAATGTTGACGTTAGAAATAATTGAAATTCCTAAAATTGTCACATAAGAAATGCATTAGCGGATTTTAGGAAAATTGATATTAAAGTATGAACCGAACATTCTGAAAATCAATAGGGTTCTAAGTTAGAAGTAATTATTCAAGAAAATCAAAACCGCAAGTCAATCACAATCAGAACTTTCGTTCTAGAGTTATTGTGCCGGCATACATACACACATACGATTTATTTGTGAGTGCGAATGGACCAACGCATTCTGACGGCATTGTGCATGTCGTCGACGGTGGATTTTTACTGCACAAAGTAATTTGGCAGAAAAATGAAACGGTGAAAGAGATCTTGAATAAATATTTTCGCTATGTAGAAAAACATTACGCAGCAAGCAGCTTATATCGTTTTTTAGGGGTACCCCGAAATTAAAAAATCAGTTACTGTGACAACAGTACCTGCAGCTACTTCAACTAAAAGAGGAGAACGTTGTCGTAGAAAAACCTCAGACAATATTCCAGAGTTTGATTATCAAAACCATACAAAAATACCATTTCTGCAAGAAAAATGTTTATCTAACGAGAAAAACAAGGACAAAATAATAAAAACATTAATGAAACGATTACAGTCACAAGGATTTTCCTGTAAAGCAGGAGAAGATGCTGATGCAGACATTATTAAAACTTCGATAGAAATTGCCAGAGATACCAATAAAACTGTCATTGTTGTGGGTCAAGATATTGATCTTTTGGTCCTTTTAAATCAATTAACTTCAAATAATCATGACATTTATTTTCTCAAACCAGGTTCTGGAAATGTAAAAGATCTATTTTTCACGTCTAATAGTTTCAAATATGAATCCTTCAAAAATATCGTTGCATTTCTGCATTGTTTTTCTGGTTGCGATATAACATCTGGATTTGCCGGAAAAGGAAAGAAGAGTATTGTAAATTCATTATTAGACGATAAAAATGTGTCAAATTTGGCCAATATTTTTTACAAAAAAGATGCAAACAAAAAAGATATCGAAAAAAATGGATTACAATTAATCAAATCTAGTTATAAATGTAAAAATCATAATATAACACTGAATCAATTAAGATTTCAAAAACATCGATTGGCAAAAATTAAATCATCTTTCATATTGGCAAATCTCCCACCCACAGAACAACATTGTTACAGGGCATATTATCAACTTCAAACTTGGCTAGGTAACGAACTGACAGCAACAGATTGGGGCTGGAAGCAACATCAATGTGGGATTATGCCCAAATTTATAGAGGAGTTAATTCCGGAAATATTGTAACAGTTTAAAATGTGGTTGCCGAAAACATGGCTTAAAATGCACAAATTTATGCTCAAATTGTAATGGTTCTGAAAAATGCACCAATGTGGAAGAAAAACCTATGAAGAAGTTAGTGATTCAGATGAAATTGTGGATGAAGGACCAATTAAGACTAAAAATAATATTGGATACGAAGACGGTGATGGTCTTGAAGATTTCGAAGATCTACTAGAATCAGGAAGGTTTGTCGAATCTAATGATGAAGAAATGTCACCGAAGAGACAAAAAGTAATGGATTAGTGATTAGGGTTCAAGATAAGATTTATAAATAAGAAGATTAATGCATTTTAAAATATTATTATGAATAATAATCAGTATAAAGTATCTAAATTCAATAGTACGATTTACATTTCTATTCATATATTATGAGATTTTCTATGACATAAATGTAATTAGAATTTAATAAATCAACTTTTTGACTAAAAAAAATTGCAGCAATAACATTTTTTAATTGAAATCCCCCCATTAAATCTTTAATATTTAGAATAACTATTTTCGCATGTTTCTTGCAATTTTTATGATTTATGGATTTGTAATTTTTTTGTTTATCAATGTAACATAGAATCTGACGTTTTTCAAGTAATTAAAGTGTCAATTTTACTAAATAGCTCAAAAGTGTACATAGTGATTAAAAAATTCGGATTCGAGTTTTTTCTTTTCTTTGCATTTTCTGAGAACATTTACCATAGTTATATATATATTTTTTTACATTATCAGAAAGAAGAGATTTCAACGAATTTTAAAAAGCTGATATTTTGACGCGAGAATTTTCGATTGAAAATTTTTCGATATTAAGTCAAAATAAGGTGAAAAAATAATTATTTCAAATCAAAAAAATTACAGTGTCTTTAGGACATAAAAGGGTAAGTTTTCACCAAATTTCGAGAAAAAATTTGTTTTTTGCATAGAATAATAAAAAACCAAAAACTTGATTATTTGAATTTTTCACATAAATTTTGAGGTTATGTGAAAAAAGTGTAATCACAAAAGTTGTAGGTCTCTTTATTACCTATAACTTTGTCATTTAATTTTTTTCCATAGGACTTATAATTTTGCCGGAAATCGAGATACACCGTTTTTACCCTTAAAAACTCACCCACTTTCACTTCCCGACCTCAGATCGCCCGTAAATTATTTTTCCTTTCATTTTTGTTATATTCTCGTCCTTTTTTGACGGGTTTCATCCTGCTATTATTTTTTAATTATCGACCCTGGTCTATAATTGTATGTTGTTATTACTACTAGTAGATGGCGGTATTAAAATTTAAAAGATATATGCAAGTTTCTTTTAGAATTATTTTTAGAAAATGCCAACTAACGGTTATTCCTGAATTATTAGCAAATTGATTGAATCACTGTTAAATAATTGTAAACTAAACATAAATGTTTATCTAATAAGGGTAATACAATAGTCACACAAAGATCAATAAAATAATGGCAGGCTTTTTAAAAACTTGCTATTGTTAGATATAGAATAATGACAAGTCAAAAATTTTAGGTAGATACTTGTATAAGCCAAATTTTCTCAGTGTACGTTTTTCTCATACAATGCAAGATCTAATATTCTTTGTAACTCCCCATTTCACAGAATGTGCAACAACTTTTTACACACAGGGATAATCCCGTCCTTAAATATTTACTTACCTCCGGCAAATGAATACTTTCTTGTCCATCATGTTTAACCAAGAACTCCTTTTTGATGACCTTGGACAACTCTTGGCGCTGTTCGTCTGTCTCGACTTCATATCGTTTGGCGGCGTCCAAAAAACGGAGGCAACGTAAATAGGCGGGCCCTTTTTCTTCGCAAAATTGATCGAAAAGAAATTTTCCTATTGGCTGTTGATCGACGACGTATTCGTAACGACAATCTGCAACAAAGAAAACGTGAAATTAATATAAATGAAACGTAATTCGTTGAGGAATTAAGAATAAACATCAAAACAAAGCATCTGCGATCCGCGTGGGTAGAAAGGGTCTCCGGAAAACTTACAAACGTAATTAATGTGGCCTTCCTTGATGCTGAAACATGTGATAAATGCGTGAAAATTTGCGGACGTATTTATAATCCCGAGACAAGGGAATTTACTGAAGTACAGTAAATCTTTTACTTAAGCGAATTTTCTTTTTCATTAGCGCCGAGAATAATCTTCGGTGTGAAACACGACACTTCAATGTAGTGTTCTTAGATACAATCAATTGGGTCTTAAAGAGACAAACCGCCATTTGATAATGGCTATGAAAAATAAAGCAGAACCAAATCAACAATTTGAAACCAAAAAAAGGCGATTAAAAAAAATCTATGTAAAAACAAAACAAATATTATACTAAAATATTCATTTATTAATAGTTGTAGTGCTTGAAAATAGTATGATGTTGATAATAATAACTCTTGTACAAAGTTTTGATCCGAACTTACAAATGATAAAATTATTGGAAAAAGTGAACACCCATTTTAAATTACTACGAGTCGCCACTGGGTAAATACAAAGGTACGGGATAAATGAAACAAAAGTATATTTTTACGCACAGGCGATTTTATATATTTGCTATTCTTTAATCTTGTTTAGTCCTAGTTTTTTGACAGAAATGAATTGAAGTAATTTAGGAAAGTTTACAATTTTTACTTTCCTATCTGTATACAGATATAAGGAAAGTATAGGAATCATGATTTTTTTCGACCTCGAGTTTTCGACGGATTTTTACGTTTTGAGGTCTCCTGAATCCATTTTGACTATTTTCGCGATGATGTCTGTGTGTGTGTGTCTGTATAACGCATAACTCATGAACCGATACACAGAAAAACACCAAATTTTAAACTTAAGCTTTGTTTCAGCGTCCAATGAGCTGATTAGATTTTGGGCAGAGTCGGAACATCTGGGGGGGGTACTTTATAGGTGGTCATTTTTATATTTTATGGAATATATCTGTTATTTACGTTTGGAGAAGAAAATTCTTCAAATAAAAGTTACTTCTAATATAATTATCTATAATTTTTGTTTTATGCAAAATTTTCCTAAAATGGTCCGTATTCGAGAAATTTGACAAAATGTAAAAAAAATAATTTTTTATAAAAATTGCTCAAATAAAAGTTGTTTGTAATATAATTCTCTATAATTTTTATTCTATACATAATTTCTCTAAAATGGACCGTATTCGAGATATTTGAGAAAATGTGTAAATTTCGAATTTTGAAGAAAACTCAAAAACGAATAAAGAAAAAAACATTAAATTTTAAACTTAAGGTTTATTTCGGCCTGACGTGAAATGATTAGAAGTCGGAACATCTGGGGGGGTACTTTATGGGAGGCCGTTTTTATATTTTATGGAATATATCTGTTATTTATATTTGGAGAAGAAAATTGTTCAAATAAAAGTTACTTCTAATATTATTATCTATAATTTTTGTTCTATACAACATTTTCCTAAAATGGTCCGTATTTGAGAAATTTGACAAAATGTACAAAATTCTGATATTTATGAAAATTGTTGAACTAAAAGTTGTTTGCGATATCGATCTCTATAATTTTTGTTTATACATGATTTTTCTAAAATGGACCGTAATGGAAAAATTGTAGGAAAAGTGCTAAATTTAAATTTTTCAGTATTTTCGGTTTCAATGAATATCTATAGAAAAATGTTTCGAAGTAGATGTATGTGGACAATGTATATATTTAGTTTATCCTCTAAACATTTATAGAGATGCTGCTATAGGTTGTACAAGATAACCGGTAAAAGCCTATAATAACTAGATAGGAAAGTCATGTGTTGGACACATCAGATTTTTATAATAGTGTATTGAGAAAAGTAAACACAAACAAATGGTTTATTGATACGGAATATGATAGGTAGAAATAGAGAGGTCATCTAAGCCTTTCAGATATAATAATGATAAAGTAATTTGGCAAGTACATTCCTTTAAAATATTTGCATGGATTTTGTTAATGTTAATGACTTGAAGTCAGTAATTCTATACAATGACCTCTGTAAGGTAAAATGTACGGTTACTGTAATATACAGGTTCGGGTTTTGGAATATTAGCCACTGCCTGCCAGCACGAAAACAAAATAAATGCAAACTGTGGCTTCACACCGCTACTATATGCGAACTAGCACCATATATCTCAACTTTATTACATTTTCCATGCATTTAGGATGTAGAATATGGCTGACGTATGAGATATAGGTATTTTTTGCTCCGTGGAAGTTTATGGCAAAGTGGAAAATATGAAATTTAATATGACGGAGAACGAACACCAGACAAATTAGAAAAGATTTGTTCCGAAAACATTAACCGCCCGTTACGGACGTTATGTAAGACTAAATTAATTGCTTCTGGAATGTTGAGTATAGTTTTATAGAAGCGGGTTTAATATGGCTTCTGTTTTCGACTATATTAAAACATAAATTAGTAAATAATTAAGTATATGACAAATTAATGAAATCGCACAAACTTTTACAGTCTTTTGAAGCAAAACTAGTATTAATAACGGACGAGACAGCAACAAGAGTAAATAAGAAAGGCACTCCGTTAAGGATAAAATAACAAGAAACATAAAATTTGTGTATTTTCCAGGAATCAGAAGAAGGGAAACAATTAAATAAACAAAACGAAACTCAAAAAAAGGATCCATAAAAAGAAAATAAAAATAAACAATGTACAGTTCATCAAATTTCTAGAGGTGTTCGACGCCCAGACAGAGAACGCGCTACGTGTGACTAAGATAGCTATTGTACAGTCTGCTAAACAAGTTATTTTAAATAGTTTTTAATATTTTTAGGTAATTAAATTTTAAAAGTGTGGAATAGTTTAGGGATTAAATTGGTCTGATTGGACTTTCTTAGAACGTTTTTAAAAGCAGCTAAAGATAGTATATAGAATTGAAAATAATTATTATGCCCTAAAAGGTGTTTTGGAATTCTTTCAACCTTTTGAAATTGAGTCAGAAAATATAAATTTTATAGGATAGCGGAAAATACCTATAATTTTTTTGTAGGCCTTTGTAAATCGTGGAAATAGTTTATATTTTATTTCTACCTTATTAAGGAAAATGGTACCTATTATTAATAACGGTTGTTTCTGAAACATTACTAAAATTTTCGAAATTTTGTTTTTCTACAAAATAATAAACTATACTATTTAGAAAAAAAATTATTTCTCTTATAATTTTATAAAAAATAACAGGGGAATATTTACATTTCTTGATCTATTAAACAAAACGATAAATTATCTCAACGAATGACACCATGTTCTAGTACGGAAGCTAGCTTTACATTTTTGTTGGTGGTTTCATGGGTTTCATATCAATTTTTTGTAATTGTAGTTTACACGTACATATACCTCTTAACACTTGTTTGCTTTATTAAAAAAGTGTGTTGTTGTGATTTACGTCGAAATAAGTCAAAAACAACTTGAAACCCCATATAAAATCAAAAAGGAGAAACGGAAAAAAATTGAGCCTGTAAATGAACACAACTCAGAAACAAAAATAGCTATCTAATAATAAAAAAATAAAATTTGATTCTTGTGCAGCTTCATCTATATCATTAACTGTTTTTGGTTTTTTAATGGTTTTTCTTGGTGATGAAAATTCCGATATCTCACGGTTATCGATTCTTTTTCTCTCTCCAGAAATGCGGACGACAGTGTTTTTAGATACTCCTGTGGCTGCAGCAACACGATCATTTACATTTTTAAATGGTATTGAAGGTGAATTAAAGTTTCCTTCTCTTCTCATAAACTCTATAACATTGGCTATTATTTCGCGAGATTGACTGTTAATCACGCGGCCTCTTAATTTGCTATTAAACTCCATTCTTAGGTTCTATTAAACTGTAATGAGCAAAAAACACAAACGAAAATAAAAGAAATGTTTTAGCGAAATTTACATCTGACATTTACATCAGAATGAAATAGTGAAATACTTGATGCGCAGAGTGTACTTTCATTGCGTAAATCCGTCGGGATGCCTGTCAGTAGTGCTTTCTCTGTCTAGCCGTCGAAAGCCTCTAGAAATTTGATGAACTGTACTTAGCTTATTTATTGTTTCGGCCTTTACTTGATGAAAATCCATTTAATCTTGAAAGAGTAAAACCAAATTTGGTTTTACTCTTAAAAAAAAAAAATGTACTTAGCACCAATGTTGAAATAAATATTGATAAGTGATTTTAAAATAAAAGAATTAAAAGTATGATTAAGCTGTCGTAGCTAATAACTTTTTCTGAAACACCTATGATTGAGTGATGAGATAAGGGCAGCATAGTTTATTTTGTAGAAAAATAAGGAAGAAAACTAAGAGTCAGTCTTTTCACCTTTTAGTAAAGTTGAAAGTAATTACTTGCTCATTAGACTATAATAATATGCTAATTTGCCAAGTGTAACGTGTAACTTAACTCCGAAGTGAAAAGATCGCCCCTAAGATAGTATCTCAATTACTAGACTTTAAAATTCAACTTGCCTTGGCTAAATGAGCGGGGAAAAAAGGTAAAGCGTTATTTAGTGCTGATATAAGCTTTTACAGCTATTGCTTTGCTGTAAACTAGCTGTATACAGTATGTCGCTAATGTATGGAATAAATTCATTATTTCTAAAATAATCGACTTTTGAAAAAAATCCAAAAACAGGTCAATTTTAATTTTTGAATCGTCATCACATGATGTAGATGTAACGAACATTACGTCACCAATATTACCGTGGTGACGTAATCGGCAATTTTTTTAAATGCAACCATGTGTCTCAAAACACCTCATTGGAAAGGTCTTCTAATCGTCTTTACAACGATGTAATTATTTGAATATTTATTTCTACAGGGTCGACCAAAACTGTTTACTGAGTCCCTTCCTATAGGGCCTCAATATTGCATTCGTTCAGA